CGCCGCGAGCCCACCCTCCTCACACTCGCTCTGCAGTTCCCGTCCCCATTCCCGTCCTTCCCTCCACCGCGACTCACTCTCTCACACTCGCGCTCTCTCTCCACCATCCCCGTCCTTACCTCCGCCCGCCACCTCACGATCTCTCAACACTCTCGCGTTCTCCCTCCGCCGCACGAGCCAGAGCCCCGTCGCTTCCTCCCCCGCGACCCACTCTCGTCACACTCGCGGCTCTCTCCTCTTGCCCAACCTTCGTTCCTCCCCCGGCGACCTCACTCTCTCAACAGCTCGCGCTCTTCCTCCCCCAATGCCTCGTTCCTCCCCCGCCGACGCTCCACCTCTGCACACTCGCGGCTCTCCTCACATCGTCGTCTCTTCCTCCCCCGCGACCTCACCCTCTCCCGCATCCTTCCTTCCTCCCGCCCGCGACCCCTCACGCTCTCAACTCGGCGCTCGACACCTCCCATCCCGTCCTTCCTCCGCCGCGACCTCACCCTCACACGTCGCGCCTCTCCCCCCATCTCTTCCTTCCTCCCCCCGCGACCGTCACCCTTCACACTCGCGCTTCATCCTCCCCGGATCCCTCCCTTGAACTCCCACCCCGGCGACCACACCTCTTCACACTGCGCGCTCTCCCTCGTCGCCATCTCTCTTCCCTTCCTCCCCCGCGACGAGCTCACTCCTAAACTCGCTCTCCTTTCTCTCCCCATCCCGTTCCTTCCTCCCGGATCCGCGACCCGTCACTCTCTCACACCGCGGCTTCCCTCCCCATCCCGTCCTGTCCTCTCGCCCCGCGAACCCGTCACATCTTCTCACACTCGCGCGCTCTCGTCTGCTCCATCCCGTTCGTTTCCTGCCCCTCGACCACACTCCCTCAACCGCTCGCGCACGTCTCTCCTGCTCCACTCTCCCTCACGGCCCAACATCTACCCCTCGTCATGTCTCTCGACGCCCCTCTCGCTCTCATCAGTGACGCCAGCAGCACAATATTCTAGAGTAATCAACGGAGAATATTACAGCCCGGCGACAATTTTACATAAGTTGTCCAGCAGCACTCAAGCGCGGCCCCCGCGGCCATTTGGCCTCAGCGTCCCCAGGACAACCGCACGGGCAGCACTAGGCGGCGCGGCGGCACGATAATAGCGGGAACCATGAACTCCACTGGACGATGAAGAGACTCTGCGCTGGAGTCAACCGAGACAAACCCACTCGCGACATTGCCTACGGGGCGGCCACGCTGGCCTCCTCCTTCGTCCTCTCCTTCTCTCGTCCTCTCTCTCTCTCTCTCCTTGCATCGAACCCCCTCTCCCGTCAAGTCCCCCTTACACTCTCACTCTCTTCATCGCCTCTTCCCGTCTTTCTCGGTGTTCTGGCCCGCTCTCTGTCCTCTGTTCTCTCTCTTCTCCCACTCCTGTATGTCCCGTGCCTCCGCCACCTTTTCTGTCTCGCTCCATCTTCATTCCCTCCCCCTTCTCTCATCGCCTCTGCCGCCTCCTCTCGCTAATCGCTGGCCCCCCTCTCCTTTCTCCCTCTCGCCGCTCGACTGCGGCAGCACGTAGACGCTCAGCTGGAGTACGGTCCGCACACAAATGAGAGAGCCTAAACTTGTCAGCTCATCCTCTGTCGGGTGTCACAGTGCTCCCTTCAGGCAGGCACAAGCAGTACAGCCATCAGTCAGCATTCTCGCAGCCGTCGGGGTCCAAGCCAGCCGCTGGCCACGCGCAGCGCCGGATAGTGATGAGGGGAGGTCGCCGGCGATTCCAACAACAACACCCAAGGCTCGCTGGCCTTCATATGAATTTCATGAATAGAGGTGAAAGCAGGAGGGAGAGAAAGAGTGGGGGGGGGAGAAAGAATGAGAAGAAGGGGGCGAGGGAGAGCGAGTGAAAGAGACAGAAAGAGATGAGAATGCGAAAAAAAAGAGGGGGCAAAAAAAAAGCGCGGATAGAGAGGGGAGAGAGCACAGAGGAGGGATATGAGCGAGAGAGAGTGAGGAAAGATAGAGAGAAAGAGAAAAGAAAGAGAGATAGGAGAGAGACAAAGAGAGAGAGAAAGAAATAAGAGAGAGAGAGAGAAGAGAGAAGAGAAGGAGAGAAGAGAGAGGCGAGAGATGAACAGACACAGAAGAAAAGAGAGATGGAGTGTCCTGGAGAACAAATCGCCGCTGGGCGTGAGTGCACGAGCAACGTCATCCATGGCGTCTCATCCTATCATTGCTAATTATTGCTTCGCCTTCTGCCATCGAGTATTCATGAGGGGGGCAAAAATGTTCACTTAATCTTCACTCTCTCCTATCTTTACAACAAAGTACCCGCTGGTTCTCTCAGTCGCTCACCTTCAGTCTCCTC